AATTAATAATAAATTATTTTTTTAATTTTTTAATCCTATTTTATTTAGAATTATAATTTATATTTTAGTCAACTTATTGGAGAACCTAATGGATCATACATATAAGAATCTTTAGTTAAAAACTAAAATAGGATGATTAATTAAGTGTAACTTGATTGTAAATAAAATTTAAAAATGAAGGATTAGAATATAATTAATATAGTGAATTATAATTCTAGACCTATAAACAATAAGTAAAGACTTGATTAAATAAATTTATAAAACTATCCTAAAATAATATGTGTTATATTATTTAAGAGGTAAATTGATATTTTACTAGTTATAGGGTTTTTTATGTTTTCTTATAAAAAGAAAGTTATGTCTCTTATTTTTTAAGATAAGTGAAGTGCAATACAAAAATATCCAAAACACAAAAAAAAAAAGAAAACCCGCTAGCATTCAAAGGTAAAACACTTATTCTTTCTAGAAAGGTTTTAAAATTTTTTTCACTGGTGGTTAGTATGGATTATCATTAGGGATCGAATACTTGGATAACTTGTGGTTTGCAAGAACTTAGTTTTGAAACAATTATTCAAAGTTGGAAAGCACATTTGATTTTCAAATAATTTTTCTATATACATTAAATTACTTTACATTTATTTAACATGTTTATTGAGACTCCAAAAAAATTATTAAATTTATAATTTTCATTTCGTGTATATATTTTAAAAAATCTAAATCTGAGTGGTGTAACTTAATTGATCAGGTCCTGAATTTGTTTTATAAAAATCACTAATTTGAGTGCTATAAATCTTAGAATCATTAAAAACTTAAATGATTATTAACTTCAATATCTTAATAGATTAATAAAGATGCACATAAAATGATTCGGATATTCATAATATATTTTTTTAAAAAAACCCTAAGTGCTGATTTTAAGTGAATTAAGTATGATTAAACCGTCAACATAATGGAAATTGGCGAGGGACCATTGCAATCAGCGTTCGGGTTGGACATTCATAAAGCCAGTAAATTATTGTAGAACTTCCACAGTGCAGAAAACTGACTAATTCAGCAGCGGATTTAGAAGGTCGTCACATTAATAATTGAGAAAACTCCATCTGATAGAGGCAATACGATTATGCTGGGTCATCTTATCTACACCGAGAAAACGCACCAATATAATATCGTGTTTTGATTTCTAGCCTTTTTAGGAGTTTAGAAGAAATTATTTTTTTTATTTCACAATATATTAATATAATATCGTGTTTTGATTTCTAGCCTTTTTAGGAGTTTAGTAGAAATTATTATTTTTTATTTCACAATATATTAATATAATATTTTTTATTTTGAACATTAATATATCAAAACACAAAAAAATATATTAATTTAAAACTAAAAAGAAAAAAAAAACATTATTGGTTGACAATACTAAACGGTCCCTTCAAGTTCTTTCCTCTACTTGCTTCTAATTATTCCTGGATAATCGTCGCTAGCGATTTATTATAAAATTAGGCATGGTGGAATAAGTACTTCCAGATATAAATGGAGTGATTGACAAAGGTTATATATATATATATATATAGTTCGTGTGCCGTCATAATCATTAGAATAATATATATAATTCTAATGATTATGACGGCACACGAACTATTTATATTATAGTTTTAACAACTTTTTTATTTTTTTAGTTTTAAAATATATTTTTTGTACTTTTATATTATTTTGATATTAAAAAATAAAAAAAATATTATTTTAATATATTTTTAAATAAAAAATATTAAAAAAAAACTCTAATGTACTTATGAACAGAAAATTTCTTGTGATTAAAAAACAAAAAAATAATTGACAATACGGTATTGGATAGATTTTAAACCTTAGTAGTCTTCGAATATAGACAGGTGCATCCGTCCATATATACATATACACCAGTGAGACGTTGTGAAAGTGATGATTGAAAATGAAACAAGAATAAAACAAACAATATGTGAACTTTCGTAATACCTAGATGTCTTGATCTTGAGAATTTTCCAAGGCAGGACTTTTACTAACAAAACATTGAAACAATTATCAAAAACACTAAATATGCGAGTGATTTTACTCTGCAATTTACTATTTATTATAATAGTATAATTACAACTTTGCCCTCATAAAAAAACAATAAATTAAGCTTTGAATATAACATATTGTACGGGGTTATATTTATCATTCTATTTTTTTCTCAGTTAAATTACTATTTTAGCCTTGGAATACAAAATCCTATGCTTTTGCTTCAAGGGTGTTTTTGTCCTTTGGTACCCTTCGAGACAAAAAAAACTCCAATAAAGGCATTTTAATGATTTAATATTGGTTTTGTTATATATTTTGAAGTTTTTTTAAAAACATTATTATAATTAATATATATTAAATATTATTTAAGAAAGAAATATTATTAGCACATGGGCTGCTTCATATTATTTAGATAGTATCTGCAAGTTTGTTTGGCCACAAACAATGACCTTTGAGAACGATTTTTAATAGATTTTAGCGCCTTCTAAATGTAGGTGTGACATGTATATAATCATTGTGATTAATTTTGTGTCGAAGTCCATTTAATTTTTTTTATTTTTTTTTTACTTTGAAATTTGCGCTACTTATGAAAAATTAAAAGCAACTGCTTTAATTTTTTTCCTTTAAATTTGTTCTTTATTTTTGTAATTAGTTTTTTTTTTAATTTTAGAATGAGTTATGAAATTACAAGTATTTTTCTATTTCATCCCTTTATTTTTTAAATCTATAAATAATCTATCAAATTATAGTTTTTTTTATTTCACCCCTTGTTATTTTTTAACATGTAGATGATCTATCAAATTACAAATATTTTTTTAATTTCATCTCTATTATTTTTTAATTTATAAATAATCTATCAAATTATAAATATTTTTTTAATCTCACTTCTATCATTTTTTAATTTATAAACAATCTATCAAATTAAATTACACATTTTTTTCATTTTTTCTCTTTTATATTTTTTTTTATCTTTCAAATTTGGTCCTTGTTATTTTAATTGCTATTTATTTTATTTGGGATCATTTTCTTAATTTGTTTTTTACAAATTTCATGCTTATTGATATTTCTTTGGGATCATTTTCTTAATTTTGTTTTTACAAATTTCATGCTTATTGATATTTTTTCTATCAAATTTTTTCTTCTTTATTTTTGTTACTTTTTTTTTATTATGTAAGTTTTTTATTAATAGTTTTTTTTCACAATTTCATCTTTTAAAATTAAATTTATTTAGAGTTATTTTTCTTGACTAAATCCAAGGTTAGAATTTCACAAGTTGCAGATTTTAGAAATTATATCAGATTTAGAAAGTTCTCCAAGATTTGCTTGGGTTTTTTTTTTTTTTTTTTTTTTTTTTTTTTTTTTTTTTTTTTTTTTTTTTAATTTCATCCCTAGTAATTTTTTAATCTTTCAAATTTTGTTCTTATTTTTTAATTTTTATTTATTTTATATGGAATCATTAATTTTTTTTTTCAAATTTCATCCCCATTGGTTTTTGTTCTCTCAAATCTTATCTTGATTATTTTTTATTGTTAATTTTTTTTACAAGTTTCTTTTACTTATATTTTTCAAATGATTTTATCATTCAAAATTAAATTAGAAAGTTAAACTTTTTTATTGAAACCGGGCCTAGAATTTAGCGAGTTGCAAGTTTTAAAAATTAGATTATGTTTAGAAGATTCACCCGAATTTGCTTATATTTTTAATTTTTTTTAAAGCTTATTTTTTTTTTTGGTTTTGGTTTGTTATATTTTGCAATTTTCCTTATATTAGATTAAAATTAGGTGTTTGATAATAGCTCAAGTTTGTTCCTTGTTCTTTTTTTTTTTTCACATTATTTAGATTATCACTTAAACTAATGATTCGGGACTTAGATTTTTGTTATCCTTGCATTTTTTTTTACATAAAAAAAGAATTGCTTTACCCGCGGGTAACAAATATAGTTATTCCTTAGAAGTCAGTCTTTTTCCACATGGTTATTCTTCAATAAAAAGGATTTCTCTACCTGGATATGCATATAGATTGGACAACTCAACTCAACATAACATTTCAAGGTGGAATTTATGCCATGAAATCACACACACACACACACACACACACATATTTTAACCACCGAATTCGTTAAAATTAACCTGTGTGGGATAAAAGTTAGTATAATCAGTGGACAGAAGCTTTGCTTAGCGAGGTACTAACATTGCACGGTTACACTAGACAGTAGTTAAAGTCGGCTGTGGCATTGCTCCTCCACTCGTCTCTGTATTTTTGGCGTTGTTCATCTGCTGCCCATATTTGAACTTCCATCTCTTCTAGCAGATTTTTTTTTCGTCCTTGGATATGAAAATTGCAATTTGGTTACTGTAATACTTGACAATCAATGGTTGGCTGACACGTATTAGAGTTTAACCCCTATAATTATGTACATCTCTCACCTCCCCTTCTTCTCCATCTTTCTCTTCCTCCACCCATTTTGTTGTTCTTACGAACTGTTTCTAATTTGATGTTTTCTTTCTTTATCTTTGTAGGCAGCCTTTGTGATTATGGACAAGTAGCAACGGTGGCTCTATGGTTAGTTTGTTCAGTATGTTTGCTAGTTGCCTTCCATGTTGAGGCTCTTTTTTTTCTTTTCACTTACACAAACTCGTTGACCCTTGCGAACATAAGATTAATGGAGAAGGGGAGTTCCTACTAAGACGGAATACGAAAGAAGGAAACAAGCGAGCTACCTTGCAAACAACGACACTCTCGACATCGTTTCTCTTAGATAGCTGAGAGGGTAGGTTAAGGTCGCAGCAAGTCACCTATTTTGAAGTACTGGTGTTTTCTTAGTGCACACGGCAAGGCCAGCGGGAAACTATCAACTGCTAGTTATGTCATATCGTGAGCTTTTCTGCTCCAACATTATATTCACTGGACGCTGCTGATATTGCCTATTTTTCTACAATATATGTATCCATAACAGCCATCCATTTTACGGCAACACAAAACTCAGATTCCTGAATAGAAACAGAATCAAATCCTAACAGAGCAAATTTCAATGCCACGAACTTTATGTACAAACAAGCAGAATCTGATAAGTTACAAAAGAACGTACCATTCCAGGAAAAATAAAATAAATAAACACCCTCACACATAGACCAAGAAACACTACAAATGCCTTAAACTGTAGCATACAACTCTGGAACAAAAGAAAACCACCTGAAGCCACAGCTCCACTTCTCAGGCAACGAAGGACATTTTGGGAGCCAATGCCAAGTCCTCCGTGACACCTTGCAATACAATATCTCTGGCCAAGTATAGCAGCAGATACAGATCATCCCCTGATGCCAAAAGCAGTAAACACGCTCATAGTTGTGGTAACAAACTGAAAAAAACTTCTTACACATCATTTCAGGCAAACTTTCAACTTCAATACAATTCCTTCCATCACCCAATTCCCACAATTTCATGCTCCTTGAAATCCCATTTCTCCCAACCCCACCAATCAAATACAGCTTATTTTCACCATCACTCACCAACCTAACAAATGTCAGGTCCCCTGGCAATTCATTGTCTAATCGCTCCCACCTACCACTCTCCAAATCGAAGCGCACTATAGAAAATGGCTCGGAGGTGGTAAAATACAACGACCCATTAAAGAACACACCTTCTTGACGATAATTATCGCCTAAAATTGGCTCAAAGAGATCAAACTTTTGCCAAGAATGAACTTTGGAATCATAAACAAAAACAGAATTGGAAGAGAACTTAGAGCATAGCACAAAAATCTTGTACCCAAATGGCATTGACACGAAGGCAAGTGACTCAAAAGAGAAAGGGTAACTAGGGAATTCAACAATCCTAGAAGATTTAGCCAAGAAGTTGCACACAAGAAAAGAATTTGAACTGGGAAGAGAGAAACAAAAGAGCCCGTTAGATGATGAAAGAAGAGAACAAGATGGGGAGCCATTAGAACCGGTAACGGGTGGCAAAAAAGACAGTGATAAAGCTAAGTGGCGCCAGGAGCCAATGATAGAATCATATAAAGGGAACTGCTGGTAAAACTGAGGGTGAGAAAGCAAGAGAAAAGAAGAGAAAGGAGAGCCACGAGTCGTGTGTTTGGACATGAAAGAGGGAGAAAACATAAGAGACTTGAAATGCTTGCAAGTTGATCTCAAATTCAAGAAAGTTTTTAAAGGTAGGCAAGATAGAACATGCTCCAGTAACTCCTCCGGTAGACGGCTCCAGATTGCCGGGTCCATTTCGGGTAATCTTGATGGAGACTGTAGACTCTTTGGCGTCATGGGTTGGAGATCTTTGCCGGATGCTAAGCTAATCCCAATTTGCTTTTGTCTTTTCGAACTGAAACGGGGGCTAAACACACGTACGTAAAGGCACAGAGTGTTTTTGTAAGCTGTATTCTAGATGTGGGTGGCGTGTTCAATAAATTTCTTTGGCACGCAGGAACGAGAGAGTGGTGACAAGAAAGAGAGATTGACTTTAAAAGTTACAGATCAATTGTAAGCACCGGTCAAACAAGTGATTGGTTGAACCAACAAGTCGGTGTTTGGTTTTGGGCTTTTAGCAGCAAGGAGGCTTTTTTTGTTTTATACTAATTTGTCCTCGGTACTCAGTAGAATACAATTGGGGAAAAAAACAGAAGAAGAAGATCATCACTGGCAATGTTAAATCGTTCAGTTCTAAAGTTTTTTTTTTTTTTTTAAATCAACCATTTCCTATCTCAGATCTCCCCTTATTTTTTTAAATAATATGATGTTTCCATCAACAATTATTGATGGTAATTGATAAAAAGAACCAAGTAGTTCACTTTTAATGATTTCAAGAATCAAACCGAGATGAAAATAATAATTATAAAAAAAAATCGTGACAAAATTCACTAATAAGTACAATAATTAATCCCATTATAAAGCTCCATTTAAGAAGGAGGTTCAAATGATGTCTTATGATTTTGTTAAATTAGTTTTTTTATATTTTTAGATTGTTTTAATTTGAAAATATTGCAAATATTTTTTTTAAATATTTTTTAATAAAAAATATTTTAAAGATAATAATTACTATATAAATACTTTTTTATCCAAGAAAGAAAACCCTGCTATTAAAGAGAACACTCCCCGACACTTTTCCTCGTCTTCACGGTATTGTTTTTGTAAGTCTCCTAAAAGGGCAACTAGCCACTTAGCCACATGCAAGTCAACATGGTTTGCTATGTCCACAATGTATGGCCATGCGCTGTGCATCCCTCCAGAAAAGAAAAACTTGTATATATTTGTCGTACCATTAAATCTGTACAAGCAGATCAATGAATCTATAGCTGACTCGAGCACCCGTGTCCTGATTTCCATGGATCTCGAATTTGTAAAACTAAGGATAAAAATGTAGAAGCCAAAACTTTCATGCAAGTTTTTTTTTTTTTTTGTTCTCGAGGATCGCTTCCTCCGCAGTCCACACACATAACATGGCCAGTGACTTATGTCTGCATTTCTATGCATTGTTCATTTTATAACTTTATAACTGTACTAGAAACATTTTCATTCCTTTGACAAATTGGTCCTTTAAAATTATTATTTTTTCACTTTGATCTTTTAACTCTTAATAATGTAACCCGTCTATGATCTCAACATTCCTTCACACAAATGCTTTTCGACTTAAACCTCTTTAATTGTGTTACCTCTTGAGGATTTAAACTAAATCAACAATAGTTAAATCTTAAACCATAAAAACTTTTTTTTAGGTTTATTTACCATTTGTTTAATTTAAATTGGATATGCATCTTTTTTTAGGTTTATTTACCATTTGTTTAATATGCGCTTAAAGGGCGAGTCCAAATTCTTTGATATAAAAGAATATGAAACCACATTTTATTGGTTCTTGGAAAATTTAAAAAAGATTTTGTAGCTTTTACTACTCATTCTAACATATTTAAAAAACTCACTGCACAAATGACATGTGTTGCCCTTATTCAAGTTATGGCTCCATTCTCGTTTACTGGAGTCGTTGTGGATTCCAAATTTAGCAAATGGCTGGCTGATTCTCCGAGTAGGGTCCTGACCGTCATCTATTTGAATCCCACAGGCCCTGAAGTTAACGACCATGTAAGCCTCCAGTGGCTATCATATGAGCAACCAAGGACTCGAACCTGAGACCACAGAGGGAGCAAACCCCTTGATTTCAAGTCCTTACCACTTGGCCACCACCTAGATGGTTGTTATGGCTCCATTCATTTATTGGAGTCGTTGTGGATTCCACATTTAGCAAATGGCTGGCTGATTCTTCGAGTAGGGTCCTGACCGTCATCTATTTGGGTTTGCCCCGTGGGCCTAATCCGAGAACTCAGAGTTCGTCTTCATTCTTTGAAAGGAAAGCTGTTGTCTTTGGGTGGTAGGATTTATCCTGTCAGACCTTCTATCTAATATTTATCATAAAGCTGTCTGTTTTATTTAAAATAATTTAAATATTTTCTATTAATTTAAAAAATAAAACAAAACAAAATAATTTTTATTTTATTTTAAATTTCAATCTGTTCTAGATTTTTTGAATAAATTTTAGTAAAAATATTCTGATTTTATTTTACATGTTTCATTTTAGACCTAAAAAACCATTTAATCAAACCCAAACTTCGACTTATTTTAACTAAAACAAGATCATAAAAATACAATATAAATATTAATAACTTAATTTTTAACTACAAAATAATGTTTAATTAATTTAAAAATAAAAAATCAAACAAAACAACAACAATAATAGATTTATTGACCCTAATCTATTTTTTTAGCATGGTTCATCTTCATTGAACTCCCTTCTCCTAACAAACCTTCATTGATATTAATATTTATTACATTCCTTTCATTTTTTTAGTTGAATAAAACATAATTACATATATTTTTTTTTTATAAAATGTTAAGAGATCAAAAAATAATTCTCTATTAATATCATAATAAAAATATATTTTACAATATGATTATAATATTAAAAACATTAAATTATTTCTTATTATATTTAAAAAAAATATGACCTACTTGTGATATTAAATGAGTAAACTAGAGAATTTTAAGGGGTGACAAATAAAATTTATAGTTTATTAAGAATATTTTAAATTTTAAAATTATATTTGTTTGACATTGTATTTATATTGCATAATTTATAATTAATTTATTTTAAATTTTAATTATATTTATTGAATTATATATATATATATATATATATAATGAAAAGACATATTAAAATATTTTATTTTAATTGAAAAATAAAATATCTATCAAAATAGATTTGACAATCTCACTACTTTCTTTCTCTTGAAAGACAGCGAAAGGTGCTGTCATTTTTATTTTTTTTAAACATAGGTCTCCTGACGGCAGCAGTTTTTGTGTAACAGGGTGTTTGATGAGGAAAATTTGCAAAGAATCCTCTTTCGAAGCCAAGGGATTGGGCTCTCTGGTTGGTAAGAACAAGGCACTTCTATTCAAGTGATTTAAAGGCGTGGTGGCATCGAGATTTCGAGGTGGGCACTTCTATTCAAGTGATTTAATGGCGTGGTCATAGTTTTTAAACCCGGCATGGTGGTTGACCCGGTCCAAGACCTGGGTTCTGGGTTTGGACCGGGTCACCGGGTTTTGACCGGGTCAAACGGGTCGGCCGGGTCAATTTCTATTTTTAAAAAAATTCAAAACGACGTCGTTTTAATAAAAAAATAAATAAAAGTCAACGGGTTACCACCGAGTTTTGACCGGGTTTTGCCGGGTTGTCCGGGTTTCCGGGTCAACCTGCCGGGTCGGCTGGGTCACTCTGGGTCATAGCTTACCTTATTTTTTCATCAACCTGGCCCGGTTCCAGCCCCGGGTCTGCCGGGTCCCGGGTCAACCAGCCAGGCCGGGCTGGATTTTAAAACTATGGGCGTGGTGGCATCGAGATTTCGAGGTGGAAGGAGTTTTTCTTGCCGAAATATAAGCCTACTACTCGAAATGGAATCTCAACGTTTTCAGGCCAGTTATCTCCATACTGGAAAGGCATATACAACACAATTAATACTACATTTCCTTAAAAAATTATGTTAGGTTCGGCTTGGATGACTGGAGAAGGATCCTGTTGAAGGTTAGTTTTCCAAGTCTTTATTGTTGAAAAAATTATTTAAAACATGGTTTTTCCTAGTCTAAAATCATCTATAAAACTAATCAATTTTCTCACAACCCAAACTGTTTTTTTAGCTAAAAAAATATTTGAGTTTAATTTTGATTTTATAGAATTAAAAATACTAGCCACCACTATCTTAACACAAACAGCTCCATCAAACCACGCCACAATAGCCACCACCATTCAAGCAGCCCTGATCAACAGCAATACACCATCAATAGACCACCACCAGAATCCAGCCCCTAACCGTCGAAAACTGTCAATACCCACACGATCCCGTCACCACGCTTCTCAATCCTTCTCCAACCAATATCTCAGCTATTTAGTTGAGCTCATTCAACAATGAGTCCAAAACCATGACACTCCTTAACTGGGCCTTCTTTAGCCACTCAAAATGGCTACCCATTTTCCCTTGGAAGCACAGGTTAGGAACTAAGAGAAGAGTGGAGACTTGCTTTTTGTGGCTTTTACATGAAGAGATAAATGGGTTGAATTGATGAGAAAGCTTGTGAATTGATGGTGTGGATCTTGGGTGATCATTGCAACAGCTTCTCTCCTTCACACCAACCTAAACAAATAGCCACTTCAAACCAATTCAGCTTAGGCTTGTTTATAATTGTAATAAGCGATTACAATTTAAAATGTTTTCACTTAAAAATATATTAAGATAAAATTTTAGCCCCATCAAACCAATTCAGTTTAGGGCTATTGTTTCCTGTGATATTCAATCATTTTTGGTTAGCAAGAAATCTGAATACTGGAAACCTGTAGACAAAACATTGTATTTGAAAGCAAGTGCTGTCCTGAAACCATGACTATGCTGTAAAACTTTAGAAATTATTGGCAACTGATGTCAGGACCCATTTTAAGATTAATAAGGTAAATTAATGTGAATATACAAACTAAATGTCAGGACCCATCTTAATATAACATTTATCTTAACATTTAGTTTGTAAAATCCCAGAGTTGTGTGTATAATATATATTGATAAGGATGGTTGACTTAATTTGAATGTAAATTTCTGTTTTTTTTTTAATATTATTCCTTAACCGAGCACCCTTTGGATGATTGTTTTTTATTTTATGGAAGTAGATAATTCCCAAGAATATTTTTTTCTTTTTTATGGAAGTAGATAATTCCCAAGAATGTTGGATGTGCATTAATCACTAACAAAAGAAGAATTGCTTATCTTGGAGTGATATCCAAGCCTGGACTCAACCCTGACTTCCAATATAAATTTATAAGTAGATTTCATTATATGTGCAATTATTAAGAATTTGTTTTTTTAATAAATATTTAATGTTTTTGAACAAACTAGCATGAAAAAATGAAAAATTTTATTTTGAGATTGAGTTAATACACGGGCTAAAAGTCAGTATTCAGGTCAGGTCGAATATGAAAAGGGCATATGAAGTCCAATAAGAAGAGCCCAAAGTGTCATGATTTAAAAGAGTGGGCCTCGTAAGGATGCGGGAAAGCGAACCATTTCTTGTCTTAAGCACCAAATGGGAAGCTGCATTAGTTTCCATCAGGAACACGGAAAAAAAGTTCTCTATGCGACCTGGAAACGGCTTCAAGTCGAAAACTAAATCAACAAGAATCAGTGATAAATCAGGAAAGCAAAGGGGCTTTAAACATTCTCTCCGTTCTTTGCACCCCGCTATGTAAATTCTCTCACCCACAAACCATGGCGGTGTTTAAGGAATTTAGAGTCACAATGCAGTTTAGGGTAAACCAAGAGGTTGAGATTAGAACTCAAGAAAGTGGTTTTCATGGTTCATGGATGAAAGCCACAGTTATTGATTCAAGCAAGCAATCTTATCACGTCCAATACGAAAATTTGCTTCAACTGGAAGATGGTGCTGAAAAACTAGTGGAAGTTGTTACCTTGACACCCACTAATACTGCTTCTTCTTCCCGGTTAAGGCCATTGCCACCAATGGTCAGTTTTGGGGTCTTTGATTTGTCTTATGGGCTGTGTGTGGATGTTTATGATAAGGGATCTTGGTTGGAAGGTGTGATCTTTGATCATGAAGATGGGTCTAATGAGAGGATTGTTCTTTTGCTAGAATCTGGGGGAGAAAGAAAGATAAAGATTGAGTCTTTAAGGATTGGTCAAGAATGGGATGTGTTTACTGGGGTTTGGAAGCTTAAGGGAACATGGCCATTAATTGGGTTATTCGACGGGTGTGAGAAAGATCAATCGGTTCTTTTCGGGACTCGTATGATTGTTGATTCAATTCCTAGGGAAAAACCATTGATTTATCATGAGGGTGGTGGGATGGTAATGAATGCAGTTGATTCCGATGATGTGGTTTTGGCAAACTCTGATAAGGACTCATGCAATAGGGTTGATATGGTGACTGATTGTAAGAGAATGGACGTTGTGGATTCTGATGGGGTTTTCAAAGATGGTTCTCAGGTTGTTATTACTAGTAAGAATCCGGCTAATGGGGACTATATGTCGATCGGTGATTCTAATGGTGAAGGATTATTGGGTGCTAATGGGAAAAGGCTCGGAAAGAGAGGGAGAAAGTCAGCGCAGAAAGGCTTTAGGTGGGTTCCTGCTGGTCCTGACCTGTTACCTGCAGCTGAGTTCTGTCCTGGTGCCATCACAAGATATGCTTCACATGGCAATCAACGACCTCCGGAACCTCTTTTGATAGATGTTAGGAAGCACCTTGCATATGTTGGCTGGATAATTGAGTGCAAGAAATATGGCAGCGCATACAAATTTCGGTATACCTCACCAGATGGCAGCAAGACTTACTTTTCTCTCCGTCTGCTTTGTCTGGATATGAGGGATCCCACAATTGAGAACTCTTCTCTAATTTCCCAAGACTTGATCAACGATGTTAAGAAGTCCTCTGGCATAGACTATCCTGGAAAGAGTAAGAGAATGGATGAGTTCTCGCAGTTTCCATCTAGAGCTGATTCTCAGTTAAGAAATGATGATGTTGGGTTATTAGGTGATTCTGAGCTGAGGCACCAGCAGGGTCAAAATGCCAGTCTTCCGAGGCCAAGGAGAGAAAAGATAATTGAAACTCTAAAGAAGCTTAGGGATTATCAGAAAAGTAATCAAGAACAAAATGCCAGCCCTCTAAAGCAAAGGAGAGGAAAGGTAATTGAAACTCTAGAGAAACCAAGGGATGGTCAGAAACGACAATCAAGCAGAACAGCAATGCAGGAAGTGACTCCAAGGTCCTCAAAGTGCAAACCTCGTTGTGCCTTATCTTGGATGATTGACAACAATTTGGTGTCGCTGGGGGAAGAAGTGAGTTATCGTGGAAGCAAGGGCCCCGGTGAATTGACAAGAGGGAGGATAACTCGTGAAGGGATTGAATGCAACTGTTGCCAGAAGATTTTTACTCTCACTGGCTTTGAATCTCATGCTGGAAGCACCAATCACAGACCAGCTGCCAATATAATATTGGAAGATGGCAGGAGCTTGTCAGATTGCCAAAGAAAGAAGAAACCCCGGATTAAGATGCAAAGGGTCACGAGAGAGGCTAAGTGGAAAGGGAGACAAAATCAACATCAAGGTGAGACTGACTACATTTGTTCTGTTTGTCACGATGGAGGCGATTTAATTGTATGCGATTATTGCCCATCTACATTCCACAAAAATTGCGTTGGTTTGGAGGATATTCCAGAAGGGGAATGGTTCTGCCCACCTTGCTGTTGTGGTATCTGTGGTGAAAACAAATTGAAGTACGATGTTCAGGAACCTAAAGATTCTCGTCTTCTCAGTTGCGATCAATGTGAGCGTAAATATCACATTGGATGCTTAAGAAACAAAGGAGTAGTTAAGTTGAAAAGGAAAGATCCCAAGGATAGTTGGTTTTGCAGCAACAAGTGTGAAGATATATTTACAGGCCTTCAAACGCTTTTGGGAAAATCAGTTATAGTAGGTCCAGATAATCTCACTTGGACATTGTGGAAGTTTATGGAGTCTGATAGCTGTGATGTTGAGGCCCCGACTGGAAAGCACAGCAAACTTGATCTTGCTGTTGAGGTGATTCATGAATGCTTCGAACCAGCGACTGAAACTTACACAGGAAGAGACATTGCCGAAGATGTTATTTTTAGCAGAGAATGTAACCTAAATCGCTTGAACTTTAGGGGATTCTACACAGTGCTTCTTGAGAGAAACGATGAGCTAATAGCTGTGGCTAATGTGAGGGTTTTCGGAGATAAGGTGGCAGAGATTCCTCTTGTTGGTACCAGGTTTCTGTTCCGTAGGCTTGGAATGTGTAAGATATTGATGGATGAGCTCGAAAAGCAACTCATGAATTTGGGAGTGGAGAGGTTAAGGCTGCCTGCTGTTCCTAGTGTGCTAGACACCTGGATAAATGGTTTTGGGTTCTCAAAGCTGACAGATGCCGAGAAGATACAATATTTAGACCGCACTTTTCTGGATTTTCCAGGCACTATCAAGTGCCAGAAAGTGTTATTGTAGACCCCTTCAGAAAGAATGAAAGCCTGGTTGATCTGGTTATTGTTAACATATCTTCATTTTATTTTATTTTATTTTATTTTTGGAGTAGAATGCTCACTCATTTTTTTTAAAATACCAGATAGTTTACAACTTATGAGAAACCTAGATGGTAGATTATACTTCTATCTGTATGTTCTGATTTCTATTTGAGTTGGATGCCCGGATGCATCAACATGTTATATTCAATCATGTTTGCAAAAAGAAAGACCAGTGTGCAAGCTCATTCCATTTAGCAGCAACCTTTTCCTTTCCCTTTCCCCGTGAAACCTTTCTTTTCCTGTGTTTCAAGAAGTCACCAAGACAGAGCAAAAGACTAACAATTATCTTCTTGCCATCTCAGTGAGTACATGAAAAAAGAAAGAAAAAACAGTGAGTAAATGAATCAATTATGAGTGATCAAACAAAGGTCTTGTATCTGCTTTGCCATCTCAGTTCATTGTTTTCCACTTTTCCACTCAGAATTCAGTAAATAAGGCCACCGAAGAATGTATTAACTAAAAAAAAAAAAACAGAGAGAGAGCGAGAGAGTCACTAGGAAAAAATGATAGATTAGGGTTAAAAATAGGACGTATACATCTGCTCTATAAATGCAAAATACTAATGGGTCAGTTATCCGGTACAATTTACAAATAGATGTAGCAGCAGATGTCAATCGCTCCAATTATCTCGATCTTCAGCTGGACGTCATCATGGATGTCCGTGTCAAAACTCTTATGAGAAAGTAGCAGCATCTATTTATGCCGTGCATTTTCACGAGGATGATGAATTAAGTTTTAATTTTTTATAATTAAAATATTTTTTATTTTTTATGATATTTTAATTTATAATAGATTTGAAATTTATCATGTGGGAAACTTTATTGTTAGTAAATATGGTATAAATATTGATGAGGATAGAAGTTTCAAGCATTAGAGATTGATCAGTATTTTTAACAATTAGTGACATCCATAGTTTTTATTGGTTAACTACTTTTGATAAAAGAATCATATGAAATTTCAGTAATATTGTGTAATTGATTACGAAATGCATGAAGAAATAGGAATTTATGGGGAAAAATAAGCACAAATGAGCTTTGCTTTATTTTTTTTTAAAAAAGCATTGCTTCAATTCTACACTTCTAAATTTTGATAAATTATTTAAGGTATAATATGATGCTTTTAATGTCAAAATTAATGGATTTTTCTCTTAAAAAAAGAGACTCATTGCATTTTTTAGTGAGAAGTTGAGTGATACTAGATTAAAGTTGTCTATATATAATATACAATAAAGAGTTATATGTTATTTTTTGAACTCCTAAGATGTATAACTTTATCTAAATGGTAAAGAGTTTACGTTGTATTATGATAATAAGACACTGTAATTTTTATATAATTAAAGAAGAATAAATAATAATACGCATGCAAAATAGATCATTTATCTATAATAATTCCCGATTAGAAATGTGTATAAGATTAGAGTTCAGAATAGAGTTATTGGTGCTTTGAGTAAGAAATCATCCTTATTGGTTATTTTATAAGAGAGATTAATTGATTTAACTATTTAAAATAAATTTATATGAGAGATTAATTGATTTAACTATTTAAAAAAGTTGTATAAGCATGATGAGGATTCTAGTGAGATATAAAAGAAGTGTTAGAATATAATTGTTAATAATTTTCATATTCATGATGTATTTATGAGTAATGATAATCAATTTTGTATTCTTTGGTTTTCATTGCAATAAAAAGTGGATTTAAGACTTGCACGGAGAACGTTTAACTAGCTATTTGGAGCAACAAAAAACCATTGATGATATTCTTAACATGTATTTTTGGCCTCATTTAACATAGCATATTGGTCAATTTATGCAAAAAAAATTATATTATTAAAATTACCATGGAACAAGCATAGGATACAAGTTTATATATGCCTTTATGTGTTCCTAAAAATATGAAGGACTTGTTAATATATATTTTACTTGGATTAATCCATTCACAGAGAAAAATGGGTTTTATATTTATTGTAATTGATAAGTTTTCACATATAATGTATTTATTCCTTATAAAAAGATAAATAATTCATTTGTTATCGCTCTACTCTTTTTTTGAGAGGTGTTTCAATTATGTGAGGTATAAAAGACAATCATTTCTAATAGGACAATAAGTTTCTTAATCAATTTTGGTTTACCTTATAGAAATTATATGTTTTTTTATTATAGTTATTTAACACAATATATTCATAAACATATTGACAAAAAAAATCTTTAAATCGATCACTTGAAAATTTAATAAAGAATATTTAAGGTGTCAAGCTAAAATGGTGGGATTATGCCTTTCCATTTAGAATTTGCATATAGCACTAATAAACATATTTCCATGAGTAAATCATCATTTAATATTATTTATCTAAAATGTTCTAAGTAGGTGCTCAACCTTGTATTAGTTTAGAAGGATATTGGATTTAATATAGTTACTAAGATTATAGCTATGAATGCACAAGCTATTATAGAGTATGTGAAGAAGAACTAGATGAAAATACAAATATAAGGAAATTATTGATGTATATTGTTGTGCTTAAGTGTTCAATAAAGGAGATAAGAAGATAATAGTATTCCTTCATAAAAAATAACTTTTGATGGGTTGTATAATAAACTATAACAAAAAAAGGTATAAACCTCACATCTTTCTAAAAAAGATATTATCGATACATCTAATAATATAAGTATTTTTATAATTTTTAATGTGCTAGATATTTATTATTTATATGATAACCAACCTTTCTATTTGGAGTTTAGGGGTGATTTAAGGTTGAATTTTTTGTAGTAAGAGGGAACTTATATGGAGGGTGTGACATCTATATTTTTATACCATATGGACAATGTCAAGCTAGAAAAAAAATCGCAAACAAACCCAAAAGTATATGAAATGAAGCTTGAAGTTGCTATTTTAATTATTATCTTTGTCAATTTTATATTTTAATTATTTATTTTTTAGTTTATAACTTTTAATTTAATTAATATTTTATCATTTAGAAATCCTAATGTTAAATGGATTTTATTAAGTAGGTAAGTTTTAATTAGAAATTATTTTCTATAATGAAATTTAGATTTAAAACTAACATAAATAAAAATTTCTAATTTATTTTGAGAACATTTCTAGTTTATAAAATTTTAATAAAATATAAAAAATAGAGAAGTTGCCATAAAAAACCCTTGTTTCTATCGTGACAAGAGATTGCAATTCTATAAACCTTTCGAGGCATCTTGAGATTCATAAGCATTTATAACAGCAACGACATTAAATATAATAATCGCAAACCTATAATCATAACAAAGAACAATCAAGCTGGCATTAGCATGGCATAACTGGGTGGAATTTATATCCCAAACTTCAATATAATAATCAAAAGAACCAGTAATTAACAGGCCCTTGGATACCACACAGAAGAAGATATGGCAAATTTATGGGCGACAGAAATTAAAGGGTTATGCATAGCAACGAGAGCCCCTTCTCGTCCCCCTCCTTTAAAATCCGAGGCAAATTGAATATCAAAGACAGAAGTTGATCCATCTGATAATAAGTATCTCCCCTCTATCAAATCAACCTGGCTTTTGGAAGTTAATTGGTTAGTAAAAAAATTGTTATTTGGGTTTGAAAAGTACACGAAGAGGGTTGATGTGAGATCCTGAGGGAATTAACCTGGTTCTTGAATGAATTAGGGCAGGTTTTACCTACTTCTCTGTCTTTGATTTCCCTCCACATTCTCGAAGCATATCTTCTTCCTCGGAAAACATGGCCTTTCTTGTTTTCTATTCTATATTCCAGGAATGAGTTCGAAACTTTTTGCATTTTGAATAGATTTTTTTTCTTCTTCATGTTTTCAGATTGTTTCAAAACAGTTTATATTGTTTAAATAAAAATTTAAAATTTAAAAACTAAATTCAATTTGATCCGATATTCAAGATAATTTTAGATAAGATTTCCCTAATTTTTCAAACATTGGCAGGTGACTTTTAGGGCCATTTTTACGACGATGCTTAAAGCCTGACAAAGAACAACAGTGCACGAAGTTACCTTTATGAACCATGTTTCTCCAATGAATGTATGTGCTGATCACATGCAGTTATGAGCTCTGCTCAGAATGAAAAGAACTACAATATGGTGTTTTCTCTTCTGTCAGCGACGACTGCATTTATCAAGTATTTGAAAACTAATCACTATGAACATCAAGATTTCCGCCATTTTCCCCTGTTTCACAGTGTAATACAAAATGCAGCTGAGAATCTTCAACGCGGTAGCTTAATCTATGTAAACCCCCTTAGATGAATTCGAATCCATGCTTCGAAGAGAGACACTGTAAGAAAATCAATCAATTACCAGATGGTGAAACCAACGGGCAGAACTCATATCAATGAACGGAAATCTTCACAAGTGGTTTGGGTGTCAAATGATCATCCACCATTGCTTCCAAATAAAACAATAAAAAAAACGCAAGAGAAAGAAAAGAATAGTACAAACATGCATTCATTAACCCGCCAATCATGGAGCATGACATTCGGTCGTTTGCTGCCAATTTATAATGGGAGAATATCTATGTAATTCAACTGTTTATGATAATATTAAAATTATTATATGGTTTTTAATTAAAAGTTTTGATTTTTTACTTTTTAAGAATCATTCAATGAAATTAAAATTGTTATATGGCTCTGAATTAAAAGTTCTGATTTTTTACTTCTTAAGAACAATTCGATAATTGCATTGCTATGAAAAAAATAAAAAATGGTGCTGTCCCAAATAAATAAAAAATGATAAATCAGCCATTGGTAAAGAATACCCTACCCTTCAAATAAAACTTTAAAAATTAAAGAATAAAAAGTAAAAGGATAATTTCTATGTGGCTATAGACATATTTGACTGTGCACGCTCTACAGTGAATTCAGTATTTTACTTAATCGATCTAATGGCCCCTTCTTACACTGGCAAATCCCTGTGTCAGGCTGTCAGCTACTTCAACCTTTGCATAATAATAATAAAGAAGACAACAAAACAAATAGCTAGTCCTTGCCTTCTCATTATCGTCACTATCAGATCTCTAAATCCAACTCCCCATGTTATTTCTTCTTCCGTTATCTCCAAAAATAAACGCTTCCTTTTACTAGAGAAAATAGCAATGCAGGTGTGGCTTTCACGGGCTTGAAAATGAATGCTGCAAGTAAACAAACGTCGCTGGATTAATTCTGTTGATTGGTAAGTTCAAATCTCCGCCCTCTTGTATGTCTCGCCCCTTTCTTATCCCGCCTGTGTATTTTGTTGTTATTTATTCCCTTTTTTTATTTTTTTTATATGCACTTGTCTCGTTCTTGCTGGTCTCTTTCAATACTTCCTCTTTGTCCCTTCCTTTTCCTTTCCTTTTCCTCTTGGGTTTCTGTTGTGATGCTTTGTTTTTAGGGACACCGTTATTAAATGGGTCATCGTCGTTTCCTGTGGCTATGCGTTGTTTTTTGAGAGAGGCGCACTGTTACCTGCCATAAATAGCATTGTGATAGCCTCAATACTCAATAGTGTGTTTCGTTTTCGAAATAAAGGCTAATATTTTATGAATTGCTATCATTACATGCGAAGAATTGGCTGAGGACTGACATTTTTTATTCTACTTCACCAAAAGAATTCCGAATTTCGCTGTTGGATTCTGGTCAAGATGTTGTGTGCTTGCTCAGGAGAGCAATTCAAATTTGATGAACCACAGCAGTCACCGGAGTCTCTGGCAACGAGGGATTTCTCGGCGAGTGGGCTTTCGTCGAGGACAACCGGAGACTGGGAGTCTAAACTTGAGGATATTCAGGTGGATGAAGCTGAATCTACTCTCAAAGAGGCTCTCTCACTGAATTATGAGGTGTGTGTATTATAACTTTTAACACTAACCTCGACCAGTAATGCGAAATTGTTCTTTGAATATTTTGATCTTTGAATGTGATACAGGAAGCTAGGGCATTGTTAGGTAGACTTGAATATCAGAGAGGGAATCTTGAGGCAGCCCTTCAGGTATTCCAGGGTATTGACATTAAGGTTTTAACCCCCAAAATGATCAAGGCTATTGTTGAAAGAATTCACTATAGAAAGCCACGGTCCAAAGGTGAAATGGGGCCTCCAAGTGTGATGTCTATGCATTCAGTGAGTCTACTTGTCGAAGCAATCTTGCTTAAAGCAAAATCACTCGAGGAACTTGGGCATCACAGTGGTATAATTTTTATTTTTATTTTCATTCTTAATCTTTTTAGCTTGCTACTGCTATATCTCGAATGGGGAAATTGGATGGGCTTTTGTAGAATTCGAAATTCAAACGATATTCATGGAATTTAGTTTGCTCGAAAATGCATTCTGTCCCCGCTCATTACTATTCCATCTTCTTTTGACCAAAGATGTCTAGTTATGCAATTTGAATTATGGGGTGCTTTTTCTTTATAAAACTTGGTTTTTGGCACAAAACATGTTTTGATCCCACATAGGACTTCACTGGCTTGATATTGATGGATCTTTTTTGTATTTCCAATTCAAAATCTCAAATATTTCTGATGCTTGTTCCATGCATTAGAGGCCGCAAAGGAATGCAGAATTATTTTGAACATAGTTGAATCAGCTCTACCTAATGGCATGCCTGAAGGCATTGGTGAAGACTGCAAACTGGAGGAGATGTTTCACAAAGCATTAGAGTTGCTACCTGCTCTGTGGACAAAGGCAGGCTTGCTTGACGAAGCTATCGCTTCTTACCGTAGGGCTCTTTTCAGGCCATGGAATTTGGACCCACAGATTTTGGCTAGTGTGCAAAAGGAATTAGCTTCTATGTTACTTTATAGTGCTGTTGAAGCAAGGCATCCCCTTCCAGCTGGCCCCCAGAGTAGCATAGAGGAAGCAATCCTCTTGTTGTTAATACTCATGAGTAAGGTGGCTGGTGGGGAAATAAAGTGGGATGAAGAAATCATGGATCTTCTGACTTATGCACTCTCAATTGTGGGGCAGTTTGAGTTATTGGCTGAGCATGTGGAGCAGGCCCTTCCAGGTGTCTATACGCGAGCTGAGAGATGGTATCTTCTTGCACTTTGTTACAGTGCTGCAGGTCAGAACGAAGCAGCCCTGAACCTGTTAAAGAAAGTTTCTGGTTGTTCAGAATCAAAGAACAAACCTCATATCCCTTCCTTTTTGTTGGGAGCGAAGTTGTGTTCCCAAGACCCGATGCATGCTCAAGAAGGTATCAATTTTGCTCGTAAGGTGCTTGATTTGGCTGATCATCAGAATCAACATTTCATTGGTCAGGCACACAAGTGCCTTGGTATTTGCTATGGGAATGCGGCAAGAGTTTCCTTGTCTGATTCTGAAAGATTTCTCTTACACAAAGAGTCTGTGAACTCTCTCAATAATGCAGCATTAAATAGGAACGAGGATCCAGAAGTGATGTATAGCCTTGGGCTGGAAAACATGCTGCAAAGGAACCTGGGTGCTGCTTTTGACAATGCAATTGTGTGTTCTGAAATGATGGCTGGAAACACAATGAAAGGTTGGAAGTTATTGGCCCTTGTAGTTTCTGCAGAGCAACGGTTCAGAGATGCTCAAACAGTTGTGGAGTTTGCTTTGGACGCGGCTGAGAGGATAGAGCAATTTGAACTTCTTAGATTGAAGGCTGTCCTACAAATTGCTCAGGAACAGCCCAAGCAAGCAATAGAAACTTATAGAGTATTGCTATCTCTTATCCAAGCACAACGGGATGTCCAAGCCAAGAACCATGAGCAAGCACATATCTTGAAGTCTGAGGTGTCTTCTTATATGCCTTGTCATCTCCCTTGTATGAAGAGTCATTAATCACGTTAAAGATTAACTTGGAGGAATTTAAGAAACATAAATGTCTCAAATTTAGCATAGTATACCGAGTTTTGGATGAACATAGTTTGTACCACAAATCAAAACTTGGAAGATTTATCTCATGTCATTTTGACATCAACTTCACTAGTTCCAAAGACGCCAGAATCTTAGGTAACTAAGTATTCAATCCGGAGGAAAATGTGCTGAATGATATCCTCCTTGCAGGTACTTGCAGAAAGAAACTTGGAACTAGCAGCATGGCAAGATTTGGCAGACATTTACACAAAAATTGGCTCATGGAGTGATGCTAAAATTTGTGTGGACAAAGCCAAGTTAATGGAGTTTCACTCTCCTAGAAGTTGGCACTCGACAGGTTGTTTACTGCCTCTGTAACTTAGTCCGATAAAGGACAACTTTCTGTATCCGTCTGCCAACAGTAAGAACGTCTATAGGCATGGTAGCTTAAAAAAATGAATTCTCATGATTTTGCAGGAATGTTGTTTGAATCTCAATCACTGCACAAAGAAGCCCTCGTTTCCTTTTCGGTTTCATTGTCAGTGGAACCAGATTATGTTCCAAGTATTGTTGCAACTGCAGAAGTAATGATGAAGCTGGGTACCCAGTCACTTCCCATTGCGAGAAGCTTTTTAATGCATGCGTTGAGATTGGACCCGACAAATCACGAAGCATGGTTAAATCTTGGTTTGATTTCAAAAATGGAGGGCTCTCTAAAACAAGCGGCAGAATTTTTTCAAGCGGCACATGAACTCAAGTTGTCAGCTCCCATTCAGAGCTCTCTGTGATGGCGATTCAAAAAATTATTCTATGCAGAGGTATCTGGACAAGGGCACCATGGCCACACGACTATCGCCTGGTGCTCATTCCACTCGTAGTTTAGTTATCAACCCATCTGATTAAATTGTATAGGAATCCTACTGTATCCTTGAGGTTGAGGGACTATGTTTATAGCGAAGTGTATTTAACAATTGACTTGTTCAAATGGACCAGAGGGATGAGGATAATGGCTAAAAATTGCCCCTGAATTTGATCAAATTAACCTCGTACATTAAATTGGGCTAAGTCAACCCTTGGTGCTTCTACAAGGATGGCGAGCGATTTAGCGATTTTTAACCGGGGATAAATCAGTCAGAAAATTTTAAAACTCGCCTTAGGTTTTCTTCTTACCTGCTGCACAAATAGTTCTTTGGTTGCTCCGCTTTCTTTGCGTATTTTTTTCCATTAAGAAAACCGTGGATTAATACGCGAGAGAAAATTAAAAAGTTCTCTCTTAAATAAAACTAAATTCGAGGACATTATCGTATTCATGGTAAGATAGAAGCACTAGATTGTGGTGATGACAGCTGAGATAGCTGTTTCGATTAAAGAGAATCAGCATTCCTTATCATTTAGGGGCTGTCAGGTACGTCAACTGTGTTTTTTCTTGATTTCTGAGGGAGTTGGATTCTTTATTGTTAGGGGATATGTACGACCTGTCAGGTATGCTTTTTTCAGTTGTGATTTGAGGTTTCCTGATTTCTAAGAGTTACATCTTCATTACTAGGGGATGAGTGTTGTGTATGAATGCATGCATCTGCTTACTGTATTTCTGAATTGTGTTTCCTTTTGCTTTTGCCTCTGGAGATGTGGCTTAAGTGTCTGTGTGTTTTGCTCTGTGAAAAGTACTGCTAGTGCAAGCTGTCTAGGAGGTAGGTTGTTGGTAGGCTCGTGCCTTTTGTTTTCTGTATATCTAGTTGTGCATTAGCTGTTTGTTTTTATTACCGTCTGAAACCCTAGGTTACAGGGTATTTGTGCGAGCTGTGTAAAGAGGCTTCGAGTTGTGGCTTGGCTGGTTTTTGTCAATTATTGTGTGGAAGCTCTGGTTGTGCAAACAGTGTGGAGATTCTGGTAGTGCAGGCTGTGTGGGGGCAGGTTGTCGTAGGAGCTGGAGGCTAGTTATTTTTTTGTTTTATGTGAACATGGAAGATATATTGCAGCAGTTCCGGTATTAGCAGAGCAGTATGCAGTAAGGTCTGGCAATCCTTGTAGTTAAAAAAAGGAGGGGACTTAATGATTATTTGAGAAATTGTCGTCTGATAGTCGTGGGAACAAAAGGGTTCGCTCTCAAGAGGGTTTGCTCTCAAGATGGTGCTATCACTAGCAATGATGGCAAAGGGTGTGTTGTTCGAGCTGCTGCAAGTAGGTGTGAGCTGTTGTTTCTATGGTTTGTTTTTGTTTTGTGGTGTGGTTATGGAATCTTTCTATACATTGAGTGGACAGCAGTGCCAAAAAGGTGGTTTTTCCTTCGACGGTGGCAAGGGTCCTTTACATTTTTTATTTTGCAATGAATTAGAGACTTGCAGGTTGGGTTGGTAAGAGGACGACTAAGAACTGTACTAGGTTGATGGAAGTTTTGCTTATGGTTTCTACATTGTTTTCTAGATTGATGCTTCATATATGAGCTGTTTCTTTCATGTTTGAGCTTTTATTTGTATAATATTTTTCTTGATTAGTTGTAAATGATTTTATCAGTTATTTAGACAGACTCGGACCATGTAAAAGACTCGTCATTTCTCAGAAGAAGAACAATTGCCCATCATCGATGATGGTAGGAGGAACCCCAATACCGTTGCGTATTTCTGATCCCCAATGCCTATGGAGATCATCCAGTTAGGAGCTGGTGAGATTTCTCTAAGTTTCAACGACATTTGTGTTGAGAGATGAGAATGATCAAATGTTCAAAACTGAGAGCCCTGTTAATTCATTTCGCATCATGTCGGCCATAAGGTCCAAGAAAGCATCAGAATAGTTACTTGCCCTGGACTGAATTCTAGGGCCGTCGTTGAATTGGACATCTGCAGGCCTGTACTGACTGGGAGAGCTATTGATCTTTGGGAGAAGGCGTTTGTAAGGTGATCAGTGGAAATTTAAAAGAACGTACAGGTTGGTGGTGTTATGCTATCTAAACAATTAATGACAAACTAACCGCGCAAACTAGTAAATACTAAAGTGGTGGGTTAAATTAATTCGATTAACATACGTCTTGAAATATGACATTTATATAATCCGATAAAAAAAGAAAGCTCAAGGCCAAGAAACTTAATATAAAAAAAAGAAAATTAAAAAAAAACTAGAATAACCATGAATCATCTCAACTAACCCACAGATACAAGATTAGCAAAAAAAAACTAGATTAAAAAAAAACATGGAAAAAAAACCCAACTTAAATAAAAAAATATAAGTTAATTCAAATTAATTTGACTAACTAACACTCGAGATAATCCAGTTAAAAAAAAAAAAACTCAAGAGTTAATAGTTTAATGTCAAACGATGGAGTTATAAAAAAAATTAATTTCATAAAAAAAATGTTGAGAAAAAAAAGAAAAAGTGAACTTGAGTTAACTCGACTAACTCATCACCCGTGATAAAAGATCCAGTTAAACTAAAAAAAAAAAGTAGAACAAATGACAAAACTAAGAATCAATATCCAGAACTATAACACTGTAGAACCATAACATTGACAGAAAGCAAAAATGTAATCAATAGAAGTAATTGGTAACATATACATACTGAGAAGATTTCATAAAACTGCAGGTTCCAGTGTGCAGTTATGGATTAAGGATTTCTTAGACACAAGCAAACATCAAAATCAGAAATGCTAAAATCCTAAGGCCTTTAACAAGTCTATATTACACCATCTAATCTGAGACTTGTCTTCATAAACTGACCATAACTGATATTTGCATAAATGAATGATGCATGCCATGAAAACAAAATTTCATCTACACAAGTAAAATTCCAAACTTACAAGAATTCATTCAGAAAGATCTCCCTTCAATCCTAGCAAGTTAGATCTGACTTACTTACAATAAGAACTGCAGCTGCATTAAGGACAGGTTTCAACTTCAACTCATCTGCCACTGCATCAATATCACCAACCAAGAAGAGGGTCAGCTTTCAAGTTATTTTTGTTCTCTTGATAAAATGATATCAAATGGGTTCAGAGCACGTATCAAGATTCTATATCAAAGTGCAAGTGCATTTTGGCAATGAATTAGAAGACAGTGGCATTTTAAGAGGTAACATTAGATTCCTAAATGGCCCTCCTTAAGGGTTTTTGAAAATTAGCTCCTGTTTGTGAGTGCAGCTCAAAAGGAGGTTTCTGAAAATTCAAATATTTTATTTTGCTTGTGTTTTCAAATTGTTTTAATGTTTTGATGTTGAATTTTAAAAAATAAAAAAAAATATTATTTTAATACATTTCTAAAAAAACACTTTAAAAAGCAATCGTACATTCTCAAACATCCCTTTAATTGCTATTGCACTACTGCCATTTATTACAACCAACCAAGAAAACAAAAGGCATTTCAAACTTAAAACCTTTAGAACTGGTTCGCCTTTGTTAGAGTTTACAGATTGCTTTGCCATCCCCTGTAGCTGTGCGCAGGCGGCTCTCCCTGCTGCAGACTTTTCGAATTGCTCTTGCCTGCAAGTAAGATAATAATCTAAATGTTATAAACAAGAAAGAAACCCTTCCACGATCATTTAAAACACTTAAGGTTTCATTTCTCAGTGAGATTATCATCATTGTTTTTCAGCTTGCCTTTCAGCTGTCTCGATCATCATAGCATCCTAGCCAAAAACTCCTACTCTCATGTGCCAACAAGCAATTGAAAGCAAAAATAGCCTAGGGTAGTCCGTAATTTATGCCAACAGCACTTCTTTTTTATTTTTGGCAAAAACAAAACCCTCGGTCCTCGAATCCGTAAGAAAATTCACAATCCTAAAACACAACCACCCATTGTATCAAAACCACCTGACATAGAGTTAGTTCAGAATTTGAAAACAGGGAACGGTAGCAATTAAGCATTACGTCACAGGAATACTCTGAATTAGAATTAATAGCCCTTTACTTGCAAATAGAAAATCAATTAAAGCATATAAATTACAATTACATAGAAAATCCCAAATAATGCACTCTAAATAAAAAAAGTGCCGGACAAATTTTATAAACTCATTCATTGAAACAAGAGAAAAAGAATGGAGTCCACGATCGAATGAATAATACCAAACAGTATCTATTCAATGGGATCAATTGAGATTACCGTTTCTGGGCAGCTTCGGCCGCTTTAGCACGAGCTTCTGCGGAGGCCAGTCTCTCTTCTTCTCTTCTCTGTTGCTTTCTTCCCCCGTCAAAGCAAGCGAAGCACGATAGCCCCATTTCTCTCCGCCCTCTACCCCTCAGACTCTCTCTCTCTGCCGAACCCAATCTATTGTTACAGTTTTGAATTTCGATCACGTGTATATTTATTTTTGCTGCTGCATTTGCTTTTATATGGCGGATGAGCTTTCACTGCCAACCGCGGGCCGCGTTTATTAACAAGTATCTCCTTGTCTTTGCATATGCTTGTCAGGTGCATTTACACGTGTGGGAAGCGGACTTTCCACGCCATTGTCTTAACTAAGCCCAAAGGCCAAAACCCAGCGTTAGCCCATTTATTTCATACCAAAACGGTGCGTTGTTGTTGCCATCCAAAATAACTTGGAAATAACTAAACACAAGCAGAGGCAAGAGAGCCGGAGGAATCGAAAATTCGAAATCGAGAGAGCGAAATCGAGACGATTATCGAAAGCAATGAGCAGCGGTTTTCTACCGTTAGAGACTCTCTCTCCAACAGAAACCCTAGAAATCGAGAACGGTCTCTCACTAGTTCCGCGCGTGAAGCTCAATTTCACAGTCCACCCTTCACTTCCGTCATCAGCTACAAAACCAATCGATGAATGGAAGCTAAAGCGATCACTCATCGAGTTTGCAAAGACCTCTCTATCTATCACCATCCCTGAAGATGACCTCGAGATCAGACGGTTCAAGGATGTCAAGAAGCGAAAGCGCGATGATCCTGTAGCTCATGGTAGCCTCAGCATTCGTGACCTAGGTTTTTTAAATAGTAAAAAGAGAAATGAAAAGGACAGTGAGGATTTGAAGATTTTGGTGAAGAAGTTTCGAGATTGGAGAGATTATGTTGTGGAAAAAATGGATCAAATGGAGGTGAATT